ATGCTGAAAGACAGCAAACAGTTATTTAACGAATATCGGTGTAACCGTGCGCGCAAATGCACCGACAATTCCTTGTCCGACTTTCCAATCTCCTTGCTCCCGATGGCCTGTAGCAGCGATACACACATCCTTTCACCCGCGTATAGCAGCGCGGATCAAATCCGTCACTGACAACGCCACCGTCGTGATATGAGCAAGCTCATAGTCCAGTCTACGTCACAACGCATCAGTCAAATCATTCTGCTTTCCTGGCTTATACTTCACGTTGAAGTCAAATTCTGTAAGGAATGAGAGCCACCTGGCCTTCCTCTTCGAGAGGTGCGGCGACTTAGTCGTAGTGCGTGATGACGCATGACCTGTGTAGATCACAAACGGCTTAGGTGCACCCTGAACATGACGAGCGCATTATTCATCGCAAATAATTCCTTGTTTTGGAAAAGTTAGTTCCTCTCCGCAGCCTTAAGCTGGCGAGATTCGAACGCAATCATCCGATCTCGCCCCTCGTCGTCTGCTTGCAGCAGCCCACAGCCGATGACAAAGTTTATAGCGCCGCAGGCGACACTAAAAGGGCGATCGGGGTCTGGCAGCGCCAGTATTAGTGCATGAAGGAGGCTGTTTTTGACCCCCTCAAAAGCCTCCCGATGCTCGGTCCATTAACACAATTCTGAATCCTTACTAATGAGATTGGACACTGGCCGTGCCATTTCCGCATAGTTTGCGCTATACTTGTGCAAATAGTTGGCGAGGCCAAGCCACTTGCACAAGTCTTTTTGGCATACCTCGGCTCTTAGCCGACCATGCCACTCTTGGCATGCTGCGACCGCTCGAATACTTGAGAGGAGCTCAGTGGGTTCCGTGTCACTCCACGTTCAGCCCGCGAGCCAGCTCGGAACTCCTGTCCAAACCACCTTTGGTGTTCGACAATTGGGATACTCCGATAACTATCAATCTGACCGCCCCGGTCCAGTGCCCGCGCCAATAGCGCCAGCTGAGGTGGGTTCATCAATTACCAAAGCTCTTCTAGGGGACGTGTGCGCAGCGCCCAAGGTCTTTGACTTCCAATTTATCCATGGCTCATGATGTTCAAACCGTGCAATACCAATGATGAGGTTATTTCTTGGATACAAGGCTAAGCCTAGTAGCGTTCCACGCTATCAAAGTTATGAAATTTGACACCGAGGTCCACAGGGACCCTCACTACAGTGATACAAGTCCCCGTCGCTAAGAAAACATTGACGGTGTCACTCAACCGCGCTACCAGCACCTTAGAATACCGCCGAAATCCTGCGATCTTGGAGCGGTTAATATGTTTGTTTGTGATGAACGGTAGATGTCTGCAAACGATAGGTGCTTCAATTGCTTTTAAGTTGCCTCTTTCAATTATATCATCTGAAGTATGTATAACAACAGCATATATGTAAGTCGGACACTCACTAAGAAATTTTAAATGTTCCCTTGGTTGCAGGACATATGCCGCAGCTCCGGAAACAATCCAAAATCTTGAAGAGAACTGGGACTGGGGCCCCACATAGCTTTATATACGGCAATATGCGGTCATATCTGCTTAAAGTAGGCACTGACTTGCAATCAAAGACTAAAGCTTTTCCGTGTTCATATTATTGCACGTTAAAAAAATATTGTGCAGATGTTTTTCCAGGCCATAGGCTTCTTTATGCGAAATGTTGAATAGCACAATAGCCATTAAAAATTGAAAATAACACATTCACCTAAGCACAGACAGCTCATAGCATACGTAAGGGCGAAAAGGAGCGCCTATATAGAAGCCACCAAGGCAAGTAAAGGCTCGTATGGCGCATGAGTTCGAAATATTTTGCGAAACAGCCACCCTGATTGAATACAACAACCATATTATGATGGAAGAGATGCTCAAGTCATTCTTACGTCCAAAAGCTATTTGATTGACCTGAAGGCTATTGAAAACTGGGTGAATATCTTGTATGTACATTTTCGCAAGACATCGACACTCATCAACTGCATCAATATTTATACGTCCCGAAAACGCGATAAGATAAGCTCCAGTGCTGTACCGTTGGGATGCGAGGCGTAATCGAGCAAATGATATTACGATCTAGAAACATCACCAATCATTTAATGTTTTTGAGATTGTCGTGGGGGTATTACTGGTTTACGTTCGTTAGCAGACCAGAGAAGGTTTTACGATTATCATGAACTGTCGGAATAGCTGCTTAAAGAGTTCAGCCACGAGCTTAGAAGAAGTTACGAGACTCTTCCACTCTCACATAAAGGATCCTGTATATTGTCATAAGAGAGATCACAACTTAAGCTGGACACACACGACGACAACAGCGACAACAGCTGCTATCATGCAATTGACAACTGTATCGGCACATCTCATGTCACTGTTCATTACGTAGAAGTTTTAAGCAGCAAAGTACAAATTCTATTTTGCTTCGTAGGGTTGTAAATTGCCTCAAATATTCGGTAATTTGTACAATACAGTTGCAAAATAATGTGGCGCACGCGATAACAACTAATGACTTCTCTCAACTTTATTCACCATCGTAACATGCTACGATTTACAGTCAATACAACACAAAAGCGCATTCGGAAGCGCGTTAAGCCGACCCGACATGTACCATACCTTAAAGGTTTATTTGAAAAAAGATGGCTGTATGCTATTTTATGTAAATTGTTGGTGACGACTACGCTGTGCGCAGTAACGCATATGCTGTAGCGGTCAGAAATGACATAGAACGAGCAGTGTATACTCTTAGGGTCGACAAGAGCCCTTTTAAAGCCTTGTCGCAAACTGAAGACATGTTTTTTCTCTTTGTTTCTATAAATTTGCGAGTCTCTATGCTCAATTTGCCCATTGATAGCTGCTTGGAGTAGACACAACTTGCGTCAAATTCTGGAGCATTATAGACGACACGAAGTGTCTGGTTTAGATTTGGAAGAGCCAGAATAAATAACCTAACAGCCTTCACCAACAGGCTAGATGGACGTCCCCTGTACCGCAACCTTTCATCATTTAAAATCCTATTAAATTGATTTGTTAGGGGCCGAGGCATGTAGACACAATAGGAGCTATAATTGTGCAAAAAGCTAGGCTGGCCAAGCAATTGTGAAAAGCTTAAGTCTATTTGCGACAGAAGCACTTGGCAATTTACAATAGACTTGATCTTTGCGGGTCTGTTCGCGCACCATACTGCCCGATGAAGATCTCGCCGGCACCAAATACTAACTTGTTTACATTAACGAACAGCTCTTATAAAAGCATACATTTAAGCAATGCCCAAAATCGTTAAAAATGGGCTTCCACTTCCAAATCTCCGTGCGTTTCCTGACTGTGAGCGAATATACTGTCGAAATAGGTTTGTTCATAACCCTAAATAGCCCCGTCACACGCCAATCAACCGCCGCTGGTACGTTAGACAGTCCATGTTGCATGAACAGCCAATCTCTAAATCCCGCTCGGAATACTGACCGACGTGATAGAAAAATCACCGATTATATATGTACCCTAGCACACCACTGTTCAAACGGTAACCAACCGTCCTGTTTTACAGTACATCCTGTTTAGAAATCAGTGGTTGCGCAGCCTAGGAGGTGTTGTCAGCATGTTGAAGCATCGCTTTGCCAGCAGTCTTTCTAGAACAGCAAGCTGGCGCCGAAAGGGAGATTTATATTTTCTCACCAGATCTACTCCTAGTTTGGTACGCATGAGAGCGTAAATGACATCATCTTGGTTCCTTGGTGGTGGTCATTGACTTGAGTACCATGCTCCGTCCTGGAAACCAAAGCAATTACAAAACACAATCCTGATCCAGAAGCAACACGATTGTTCTTAAAATATTCTCTCACAGTGAATAACGAAAATCCGTGGGATTTTTTGAGGTAGTGTTTGCTGTACTCGTATTAGCTTATTTGCTATGCCCTCAATGTAGTTTTTTTGGTGACAGGTGATAAGCCCAGCAACCCCTGGCGAATTTTAGAGTCCTGCAACGTTTATAAAAAAAATACTCAGAGAGACGTTTTAGCTCAATAATACTTTTAAAGAAAGAAATAACATTCACGCTGATGATAATATACAAATATTCAGTGTCACTTGCATCTCGTACGTTTGTACAATGATGTAAGTAGCAAAATTGTACAAAAATGGTAGGGCGTGTACATTGTACACGTTAGATATGGAATCTCCAGTGCTGATGTGTGGCTATCCTTTTATATGAAAATCGTGAGAACGTAACGACCTTTCTTAAAAAGGGTAAGGGGGTACCCACCGCGCAAAAATATCACACAAATTGTCCCTAGGATTAAGAGCCATGCTCACGATTAGCACGGCAAGCACCATGTTAAAGCATCACGATTAGTACAGGAACGAATGAGGTTGATAGCACTTTTCAAAGAAAAGATTTGTGGACTACCAGCATTATATAGCGTTATATTAGCGCATGCAGAATACTAGAGATAGGTTATATTGTGGTTCAAACTGAAATTCACCGTCCATCTTTTTATTTTTAAAAGAGCCGAGATAAGTACTTAATTTTAAAGGTTGAATTTAGGTGGACTTTACAAACCCATCACCGATGTGCTGCTTAGAACAGACTCATTGCTTATGTATGAGATGCGCAAAACCCCATAATCAGTTGCTGTCACATCGACGACCGATTTTGGAGCAGACGGTATCTTCTTTGAAGATAACATGAGGGCAAGTAAAAATGCTAAATAAGCGATGTCAGCAGCAACTAGAAAAAATAATTTAACAATGCATTGCCCAGAAGTGATAATATTTCGCTTGAAGGGGCTTTTAGGCTAAGACAATTCCCGTTGAGAGGCCTGCAAAAACGCCTTCATCAGACGTCTGTGGGGAACCCACTCACCCCGCGTCAATAACTAATGTTAAGCGCCTGGTATTCGAGAGCAGGAACTGGGTTAATCTCTCTCTAGACACGAAAGAAAGTCATCGTTACGATTTCGATTCTAACAATTATCAAACCAGAATGCTGTGCTTCAGAATGGGCGGTGAGGTTAAGCACCGCAGTAGATGAGACATCTAAATATGAGAGGTAAAGAAGTGACAGAGTTTGCAGGTATCCGCACTGCCAGACCATGTAAACCGTGTGCATTCCAGTTTTGTGTCCAACCATCTAGGAGGCTATAAATCAGTAGATAAAGGATAACGCTTGACATATCTAGTTTTCGCTATGGTGATAAACCCTCTTTAGCAGTTACCGTCGACATACACGATCGCCGTACAGACGCGGTTCACGCCGAAATCTTATACAACTACCCTCTTTTTTGGCAATGTGGTTGCTATCGCGCAAATCAAGGACGATAACGTTAATGCAGCGAGGGTTAGTTGGCGTGCAGGATGCGGGAGTGCAACGACACGAGAGGGACGTTGCGTTCAACCAGACAGCTTGTGAGAAAATTGATCAGCTGCCAAGTGCATCGTGGTATTTGCAAATATTACAAAGCCAAAGAGCCAAAGATGTAAGCTTTGTGTGCCATCTTTTCTTTCGGCCAAATGTATGATCGGTTGATGAAATAAGTCATCCATGCACCACCCGCAAAAGACCGTTTGACTCAACGGGTCTAAGTTTAATCCGCGCCCAAAAAGGATAGCACGCTTTGCCCAGAAACGGAACCAAAAGCCTCTTAAGTTATGTGAACCCTCCTTCGCTCGTCTATTGCAAGAGAGATATAAAATATTGATTAAGTCTTAATTTAACCAATACCTGCTTCATCGGGTATTCGGCATCACATTACATGAGGCTACTTTCCAGTGTGTTCTTACGGACTCTTCTCCACAGAAATTTTATTGTCCTAGTCAGTACCACATTCAAGTAGTATAATGTATATTCCAGATCCACTTGAACCTTTGCTACCCGCATAACCACCAAAATGTTGACCAGGCTGGTCCTTACACTTATGTTGTCTTTAAAAAATACGCAATTTGGACATTCGACTAGGACCAAATGGTCGTGAAATACAACACCACATACACATCACAGTGTCAATTATGCGAGAATAGCTGCATCAGGAAATCAATTATGAATCCTCTCATGACATGATAACCCCCTTAGAAAGATGGGTTTCTCGACCAGCAACTCATGGCATTTTTCGCCCAAAAAAAAACCGAGGTGTCCTACAATAAAACGGTGTTAACAACATTTCAAAAATTGACCCGATCTCTCGCCTCGTTGAAAGACACACAAAGCTATGTAAAGAAGAAAATAATTCTTACATTTCGCCTCTGCTCTTTGCTATTACGCATTCAGTGCTTGTTTCCAAAGGTAGAAAATTTGCAGCATGTCCACGATCACAACGATAATAAGCCCATCACTAATGCACCAAGGGTTCCATTTTGCCCATCCTGAAGCACACTAATCGCAGCAACTCTCATCGACCGGATCAAATCTAAGTGCCGCTCAAACCAATAAGCGTCTACGGCGCCAAAGCAATTTTGCAGAAACGAGACCTGAAACTTCTTTAGTTTTTGATGTAAATATTTTTTTTCCACAAACAAATAAGCTGGTGCCCGCCCGGATAAGCTATCAGCTCACTTATCACTACAAGTGGAGTACGCCATCTTTTGCCTATCAAGGGGTGCCAGCAGTGAGCAGCCTTCAAAGGTTGACTTTTGCGATCTTCCTCGGCCGTGGTGGCATGTCGACTGTCTCAAAAAGTCCCGGCGTGTAGCTGATTCTGAGATGAACTGGTTGCCACCAGATATGCTCTCCAAGCCACGCTTTTCCACTGTAACATTCGGCTAACACACAGTTATCTAGAGCCGTATCCCTTCTTTAGTTCAGAACAAAGCACATATATTGCCGAGTGTTTAGGCGCTTGCTCAGTCTCTGACATATAGTTTTTCTAAGAGAGCGCTGTTCACGACAGTCCCTCATACATAACACACACGCTTTTGTGACGAGGAAGCGTATCTCAACGTGTAGAGGGGAGGCATGACTTAGAAAAAAAAGCGATTTCAGGCAAATTTGCTGCTAAATTAAAATGAGTTTATTCCCAAGTACATGCAAAACACCCAGGGGCTTCGAAAGAGTTACTTAAAAAACAAGAATTCCTCATATATAAAATCTAAGTGAACTGAGGTTTAACTTAGCTTGAACTTGTACAGATCTTGGTGTGTGGAACTTAAATTCTCAAAGCTTGAACCTCGACTTTTATGGAAAGTAACGAGTAGAAGTGACTAGCTTATGTCACTTACCTCGAAAGCGAGACACGAAGGTCTCATCAGCTGTACAAATGGTCAAGTATAAATCGGCAATCTATATTACACACACTGTTTGAAACTTCATACAAGATGTCACGTATGCATTTGGGAGCGCCGTACTGCAATATTTTTTTACCAATACCCACAATGTAAACAATCGGTGCATCGATGTACCTTCGTGTAATGCTTAAGCAAAGTCAATTAGTAAGACCAGGGTATTCTTCTAGCGAGCTCACATAAAACACAGGATCTCTTCGCTTTTTCTTCAATATATTAAATATTTAGTCTGCTCACATTCTCCGCAAAACGTGGCATGCTCACAACTTTGTCATATAGTCTGCGGAAACTACCTGAGTAGGTTGATGAATAGCATGCACAAAACCTTTTGGCTTATAACATACACGTGTTATTTATGTTAGTATCCCGGGCATCTGTTTATACCGTTGCATATCCAGCATCTCACCAAAGTGTTTATACGGTTGCAATGTACATGTCAAATCTGGTGCCCAGCACCCCGAAAAACACTCGCTGTATTCAAAACAACAGCTACCGGCACGTCGTGTTGTCGAAAACTTTATCGAGAGATTCTCTCCCAGTATCCTCACTGAGAATGGTGGCGCTGAGATTACCTACCTCTCTCAGACGAAGAAGGACTCCAATACCAGTACCACCGGCGTGTCTTTTGAAAAACCAATATCAAGTCCATATTTACGAAATGGTACGTTTTGTTGAAGACGACTCTATGGAAGTAGAACAGTAATGTAGACAAAATGTTTGTATGATTTGACAGAATGGGCGGATAACTTCTAACGTCATTTAGTTGCAAATTCGCATGTCAAGAAACCTCCCAAAATCAAAGAGTCGTGGCTCGTTCAATACAAGATTAACCGTAACATACAACGCCCAACTTTGTATCCAGGATGACCACCGATCTAAGCGTTGACAATTTCGCATGTGCGCACATATATTCGTACTTACTCACATATGCATGATCACCAATACACAGTGATCTGCGAGCAGATTTCTTTTTACTACGAGGTAGTGGGGACCCAGAGGGAATCATGTATGTCGCACAGTAATCTGTGCTGAAATTCCTCATCATGAGAAACTACCAAATGTTGAGCTCCAGTTGTTTTGGTGTTGAATTTAAGCAAAGCTTGAGATACGGATTAGCGATTGAAGCTGACGAGCGATTTGACGAAGCAGCATCTGATGCGCTTTGCTTTCAAGGTCTTTAGTAATACTTGTTGCTTTTGATCCATATGCTATATGTATCGTTTGAACAACGGGCAAAGTCACCATTGTGGCATGTCAAGTGCCGTGAACGCACGTTTGCCACCACATGAAAGCAGTCCAGCATTTTAATTATCTCAGAGGTACACATAGCAATAAAAAATGGCCATCTTGCCATTCTCGTGTGATACGTCGTTATGCGCGATGAAACATGATCAGTATAATTCACGAATAAATACCTACTATACCGGTTTAGCTTCAACTATGCAAAAATTATCTACTTTCTTGCAGGTAGCTTCTTTGCGTGAACAGACTAGTACCGCTTTAAAGTGACATATATATGTATATGGAGTAATGCCCAGAGTATGATAAAGTCTAGAGCGCCACGGGCTACAGGTGTATTTGATCCAGATATGACATAGCTACACTCAGTGCATACTTGTAGCCATTCAATAGCCTTAGAGGTCGCTTCTTATATCACGTCCTTACACCATTTGACAACCTTTCTCGATAAACTGTCGAAGGGCCATGCCATGTCGGGATATCTTACACCAAATATGGCCAAGTATTTGGTCAGGCCAAGTCACTTACTGAGGTATCCTTTAGGCATGGATATTGACCAATCTATGATGGCTTTGATTGTTGCTAGATTTCTCCGGAGGCCATGACAAGCCAAGTAATGAGATTTCGTCAGCCGAAGCGTGTGACGCATCCAATGTGGTTCAGGTCCTTACCGATAGAGTTGAAGCAAACGCACAATAGAACATCACACCAAGATGCAGTTTTGCCTGCAGAACATAATTTGAATTCATCAGGCCCGAAGTCATACTTCGAACAAACGACTTTTGTGTGACCTTGTTGCTTTATCAACAGGATGTACGGGATTGTCTTTTTTGTCGGAAACATTACTCAGGTACATCGACTCGAGCAATGCTCGCAGATGTTTACCGTGATTCCGTGATTCCCCACGTATTACTTATGTGCCCTTTGCGACAATGGACGAATATTTTGTCGAAAGAAAATTGTGTGTAGGCATGATGTTGTCTTTGAAGCTGCAGCACTGGACGACTGAATGCCGCTGTTGCAATATATTGTCCCTTGGGCATAACTTACAATTTTAAGAGCATCTTGTGCGATATTATCATTGCAGTCAGTGGTGTATAATTGTCATTCATGAGTAGATAGACGTGTACTTCGACAAAACCTAGAGGGCTGAACAATGTGCAACCAACCAATAAACGAGCGCTGTTTAGAACAGTTTTTGAAACACATCACACACGCTTGTGCGACGAGGAAGCAAACTCCGACGTCGATTTTAGGGCTTAAAGACAACTTTTGCAACCAAATTAACATGATTCAATGGTTTCTAGAGCTACGTGAATAACTCCGTAGGGCTCCTGGAGGTTTCACTACTAAAACCTCAAGTTTCCAAAAATCCCAATTTATGCAATCGATAATGTAAGCAGGTTGAACTTCGATTTTAATAATACAAGATCCTGGCTTTACAGAGCTTGAATTTTATAAAAGTTTGAATTTGATTTTTAAGAAAGCTCCTAGCAGAAGTGAATGGCTAACACCACCTACTTCAATAGACAGAGCCATGTCGATTTTGTCACCCCCTAGTACGACTCAGCATTCGGTATTACACAGAATGTTTGTGACTATATCGAAACATAAGCATGTGGGGACGCCATACTGTAATCGATTTCTCACAAATCCCGCAACGAACGCAGAAAGTATACTGAGATTTCGCTTTAAGTAATGGCGAAGTGTAGCCCCTACACGACTTTGGTTTGTTGCGTTAAACCTTCTCCCAAATTGGTGTTGGCACCAAAGTTTTAGCTGTGTTACTCTTTATTTAAAGCCCTATTCTAAAATACTCGGCGTTCGGGTCTCTGACACTGTATAAACTTTCACTTTACAAGAAAAAGCCTCTTTGACGTCATACCTTGCTTGTAGTAAGGGCAGTTGGTGTGTGTCGCAAGAATTCGGAAGCATGAATAGGATTTTTGACATCGTGTCGCCATGAACTGTCTACAATGGATAAAAATTATCTGTACACCTTATATCATTTATCATCGCGATAGCCGTTCTGCGAGTGTTCCGGATGACGGACACCGTTATGACAGATGATCAAATCAGCGGCTCCTTTGGTTTTGACCGCTCTATTCCGGTGACTTCACCAATCTATACTTCTTTTCACAAGTTACTTGTGGATAAATCTTTGAATGTTGTAAGTGTCTGCCGGAGGAAGTGAATTTAGCCGTTCAGCCCCAGGTTTTTCACAGTTAAATCGTAAATATTTGAAGATCGCCCAAACCCACTTCGGCTTCCTAGCATAGGTAGGATCATTGCTATTCAAAGCATTACCACACAAAACTGGCACGCAACATTCTCAACAACCGGTTTCTTAATGGCTCATGGAATTCACGTTTTGCCATATCTAGGATTATAGGTAATTATGTGTCCGAGCCTAACACCAGATATTACCCCATGTTGTCAAAGTCTCAGTCATTGATATAATGCTCAAAAGAAATATTCAAACTTTGTTTAGGTACTGCCGCAAGATTTTCTTATATCAGATACGTGACATCTTCAAAGCTATGCGTGCTCCTTGCTATTTTTAACAGTCGCGCGTCTGACGGAATTAAAAGCTCTCTTAAATCAACCTTGACCCTCCGCACCAACACAAGCCCGAAACAGTGCCGTTGAGAACCAACAATTCGAGACAATCCGTTTCTATCTTTCTTAGCAAGAGACGCTCAAATTTTACTAGATGCGACGATTCCCGACCTTCAGGTGGCACAATAGAGCCAAAATCTTGCCTTAAATACATCCCTACAGCTACCATGACATAATATTTCACCACAAGGATTCAAAAATAGATTTTGCGACGGGTCCCAACGCTTCGTATTCCCTAACGGATAGAAGAAGGGATACACAGCGCATTGACACACAATTTTGTCACAGGTTCAACATCTGCGAGTTTTATAGTACTCGCAAATAGTTTTCTTTTCTTTTTTGGTAGATCTAGGATTAAAAGCCTCTAGCGAGCACGTAGAGCTTCTCTTTGCCTAACCTTTAACTGGCCATCGTGACACGTAAGTTGAACTCCATATGTAATATGACACCCAACCGCATTTTTTAAAGGTATCAACCTGCTTTTGCCTTATTTCTTTGGGACCAAAAAAAAATGTTTATAATGTTTTTGTGCTCCAGATGTAGGATTTACGTATAGAACTTCTATAGAAAATGCTTTGTTCTTTACACGGAGAGTGTTGAAGCGTCAGATGTCGTGCCTAGTAGCCAGACAAACTGTGTGCGCTTCAAATTTCAGTGCTCGCATCGAGAAATGCAATAAGAGCAAATTGCATCCAAGCGTGGAGAGCTCAACTGTTGTGATGGCGGTAGACCCCCTCTACGAGGCAGCATATGTTTTCATCTTCACAAATAAACTAAAGGAAAAAATGGCATTTTCAGATATTTACTGGCTATAACTTACGCAGGCAAGACATCTACCGGGACAAGAATACTAAGCGTCGGTGGAACTACCACCACCTGACAGCATAAAGGTTTTGATGTCAAGTTTTTGAGTCTTTTGGGAGTATAAGCTAAAATGTTTATAACTTCGGCCAGGCTCAAGGTCGAGAACCGGCCTGTCGCTCCAGCGTCCCCAGACTAGATACTCAAATAGTTCAAGTTCTCCCCGAATTATTTTTTTTTATTAAAGCTGGGTCTTGATATATCAACGGGCTTGCTGTGCGCATCGCACTGAGAAAGCTTCAACTCAAAACGTTTACGCGGTAGCAAACGCACGAGGGATGGGTTTGAATACAGTCTCAGGTGCGCTGAATAAGAGTTCAACAAGCACTGCTTTTTCGGGGAAAGCATGGAATAAAAAGAATTAAATCTCATACTATCAACTACTCGTTACAATCTGTAACAACAAAAGTGTATAGCAGTGCATATAACGCAATTTATCTGCTTCAACTAGCGCATGGAGGATGCGCTCGCGCGTTCAACCGGAAAGCTAAAAAAAGACTAGATTTCCAGTTTGTCTTCAGATTTCAAGTGCAACATCTACTTGACTGTCTGCGTTTACAATGCATTGCCAACATAAGGCTAGCACTCAAGTGTGCCACGGGACTCTGCTTTACACAATATCATCCACTTCATCAGAATATGTACTTTGGTAACCCGAGTCCTGCATAATCGTACAAAGATTTAACGCGGATGCAAACACTAAATTATGTTCCCCAGAAGATGTAGTCCACATTAGTGCTCATACATAAATTAGCTTGTTAGGACATCACACAAAAACTAATGCCTAACTACCACCCACTGCATTTGAAGATTTGCTCATTCACTTACACATAGTACTGCTTGTTCTTACGAGCATAATCCATTCGAAAATCTCTCTCTCTAGCGTTTCCACCGACTCGACAATCCTCTGAAAAAGGCGTGGTTCTTGTAGTCGGCATCTTACAGCTATTGTGGTGAATAGGGTGAGGCGTTCTGATTATTTAAAGTCATCATAACTATCCGTGTGCCGTTCAAACAACTCCATCCTTACTTTGTCGGTAAGGACGGAGCTGTTTGATTGGTACACGGAGAGTCAGCTAAATCGGAGGCATACAACCCGTTTTGTCTCTCCTCTACGTGTTTTGAGCACAAGAGATCCCGTTTTGTACGACGAAAAGTATAAAAAAGTCATGAGCGGAGATGATTTCGATTGTTAGCTCACCACTGGTAACCTTGGTGCGTTTCATAAAGCCTATACTTACCGTCTGTAAGTGCAAGAGACGCAACGACTTATCCACGTTTGATAATGTAACAATCATCTGCTAAAATTATCAAAAGTTGCCTGCCACACCGAATCGAATCAGCAAATTCCTTGCACGCACATTCACGTGGGTCTTCTGCTTACATAAACAGCAAAAAATGTGCTGAAATGTCGCTCCGCGAGCATTATCTAACCCCGTAGGACACGGGCCGTCAGAAAGACCGCATTTGCATAGATCAGCAGCGGCAGGTGACTTGTTCTCTTATGAGGGCAATGCCTTGGGTAATGACTGGCGGAAGTCACAAGGTGTTCCACTCGTAATTGAGGCCCTAAAAAAAACGCGGTTTTTCATTCTTCACACAACTTTGCAACCTAGTCTGAGTGAGGTTGACAATCGACTGGTACGTCGCTTATGCGTAGTATATGACACAACCGAACGTTGAGATGGAAACGTATCCCCATAAGTGCCCTCTATAATCCATTCTACTCAAATCCTTTATTCTGCTAATACATTCGCTTGCTAAGTCTCAAGTCTTCAGAAAGGTTGAGCTTTACTTGCAGGTGAGAAGCGAGTTTTGCTGATCAATCCTGTCTTTCCTGTTGAGTAGGAGCTGATACAGAGATTTCGTCAAGTTGTAAGGGCAAAGGTGTCATACAATATCACTGAAGGGGAAACTAACTTTCCATAAGTTTTCAGAGCGAGGGTGACCCTTCAACTCACTGGATTATTCTTACAAGTTTTACGGGCAACCTATCCGTTCTACATAGAAATACGTCACCCCCCTTGTAACGGCGTTACACGTACCCTTGTATGAAAGGGCGGGTCGCACAAGATGGCGCGACCGTACATAGGTGTGGATTGCACGAGTTGGTGTAACAGCACAGTGGTGTGGCTAAAGCAAAACAAGAGGCCACCACGTGGCAGGATTGCCAGTAGTCATGCATATTAATTAGGTTGTACTATATTAATTTGGAGAACCTAGGGTTTTAGATATTGGCGGCTCTGCTGCAACTAAAGCAATTAAATACGGTTTCAATTTTGAACTAATGAGCGTCTTTACCTTGGTAACAGGTTAACGTACATGGAGATAGCAGATCGCAATCCGCTACACTCGTAATGATTCTTGTAATGAAAGTAAGGTTGGTGACCTTAGCTTAGCGTCTTCTAAGCAAAGAGCTACGGTAGCCCCGCTGCGCTTGGTAGCAGTCGTAGTCAATTTACGCTTGAGTTCTACGACTGATCCTCTGTGAGGATGAAACACAACATCATTTTGCCTTAGGGCGTGCAGGTCGGACTTAATAAGCTAATGTCCCTGATAGGCCATGAGGGCGTGGAGCACCTCGTTTCGCAAGGACCCGAAGCAATAATCGCGTTAGAGGCATTTTTGGGCGATGATAATGCTCTGTTAGAGCACCTACAGCAGATGCTGTCAGTGTTGACTGCGTCCATGATGCCATCAACAACGACGGAAGATTTACCCGACTCCAGGCCGCTCATGGTGAGCGTTAAGACCTTCGAGAATAAGCATCTCCTGCTCTGGGTAAGGAAGGCCAAGAAGGCTATGGCATCCGCCATGCCCGAGAACGAGCAACAGCGCGTGACGCTAGCTATCCAAGCTCGGGGGCCGAGCGCGAGAATGAGCACTAACGTGCAGTGTTTCGTCCCCTCCGGAAAGGAGCTGAAGGGTCAGCTTTTTCGAGTGTTCTCGCCGCCTAATCAGGCATGTCGCGTGTGATCGCGTTTCCTCACTGCTCGACAGCGAAAGAAGGAATTGGTGGACTTTGTCCAAGATTTGAAAACTCCTAGTGCTGGGATGGCAGCAGATCCTCGTCTCAAGCGGTCGCGGCGACCATCTTTATGGAGGGCCTCCGCACTGGCGTGGCCAGAATGTAAGTCTTTCGTGTTCATCCGTCTTATTTTGAAAAGAAATAAACGTGGTATTGAATGCCGAATTCAACTTCAAGTCGGCATGACTTGGTTGGAATACACACCCTGGGAGCTCGTCAAGCAGGCCTGAGCCAATGGATCTCAGCTGTGCTTAGAAAGAGGAGGGGAAAATCCGAAGTTCCGAGTTTGAACACACGACGATGTATTGTCTTTGGAGTCTTCCGTCACCTTCGGACTGGGCCAAGCGCGTAACAGTTCGTCAAATTGACGTCCCGTTTCTAACTAGTCTGTTTTGACGCTGGAAATCGAGAGATCCAATAAGCGCGGGCGCCCTACTTGGAAAAACGTGAATTCCGCTTAAAAGAGGTATAGGGCAGCAGGGCCCCCTCCCGAGGAGCCCCGTGCTCCTGAACACGGAACGTGTGTGCAAGCCGGGCTTGCTGGTCGTAATAGCGACCGTGAAGAGTTCTGAAAAACCATGGAAGATCCCTATCCATCGATTCCGAGGCGTCGAGAAATTATGCTTGTCCGATCCTACATAAGGCTAGCCCTCTCGGCAGAGAAGCTTCTCTGTCGAGACGGTCAAACATGTTGATTGCTTGTGTCAGTAATCCTGTAAATATTACATCTGTGAGTACCACGATTTTGCTCGGCAATTTAGAGATTGCGTTTTTCTCCTCAGTATGTCGTCGCCTCTCGCACGCCTTTATAGTTTTCACATTTTTGACTCCGGGCAGCCCTCGCGGCAAGAATTTTGTACTATATGAAGGGGGCTGGAAAAGCTTATTGCACGTCCCACGTGTATTAAGATCATCCATGGCAGTGTTAGCTGCAGCCTCTTCAATGCAAGGTCTTATAATAAGATTTCTCAGGTATTGGACATTTTTTATCAATACTTGCCTTCCTTGACTGTGTGAAGCGCATGTGATACACCTCATTAGGATGTGCGAAAACAAACTGTCAGCGAACAAGATACGGTAGATTCCCTTCTCTCCGAGGAAGAGGTGTTTCTTACGTTCTACCTGTCCTCTGCATGAATTGCGCACTCCTTGACCGTTTTTTTGTCACTACGCCGCTACAGGAATCAGGACAACATACAGCTCGTCTTTAATGCTAGACATAGCTTGCTGGTCCAATAACGAAGACTGTCCGCTACTATCGTAGCCTCTGTCACGTCGCGATGACAAATTTTGATCATAACGACATGTCAGCCGAGTCGGGGTGGAGCCCTTACACTCCTATGAGCGTGGGACTTTTGACTAAGAAAAAGCCCCTGAGTTCTGCCCCGCGAGATTTTTTTAATCCTACAAGCTTCATTCCTTAGTACCTCCATTTACATTTGGGCAGCGGCTGGGTATATCTGTACCATGCATAAGTATCATATGCCGAGTAATGAATGCTGATGGCAGCGTTGCACTCGGTTCACGCGCTGGATGAGGAAGAGAGGTCGCCGCAACTGTCTTACTGCTTTACATTTCAAATACAGATGTCCAGCAAATCGTCAATAGGTTCTTGACATTGCAAAGTACAAAGAACACTGTTGACGTCGAGGAACAAAGTCAACACCTATTTTCAGCACTGTTGTAATAAGCATGCTATTGCAACTACTGCAAAGGTTCAGACTTGGAGTAAGCCGATTGCATAAAAAGCGAGCTGTTCGGGATGCGTTTCTTTCTTTGTCTGAGGCGATACAGGTAGCGATGTGCCAGGTGGTATGAGGCAATTGCACCAATGTAATTCATCGAAGTGGAAGTTTCAATTCACGTGGTTTTCTTGCTGTGGAGGGTACTTCTCCATCACGAGATTATGTTTTGAGCCCTAGTAAATCCGTTGACTCACTATCCAGCGCACATGGAAATTAGCCACTCTAAGTGCAGACACAGTCCCAGCTGAGGGTGATTCTCCCTTTGGCTAAATTGCGTGAGCTCTTTCGACGATGACGAAACGTTCACTCTCTGCGGGATATTCAGAATTGGCCAATACAGGAATAAAATACATTTTGGAGTCATGAACCAAGCAATGACATAGTGCGGGGCAAGTTTAGGCCCACTATGCGATGCAAAATAGTATCGATCGCCTTAAGGAGTAGGTACCAGAGCTACATCAGATGATCCACTCTTCGCCTGAGTTTTTTCAGTAGATTGAATAATGATAGCAAATACATGGCACGGCTTCAGCTAGCTTACATTGACGACTAGGGTGCTCATGCTATCTGTGAACATTGAGTCAGTCACTCAATTTACGTCCTGGTCAAGACGCAAGTGGCCAGATACAGCGGTTTTGCAACATTAACTTTTGGGCTACATTCAGGTTCTTCAGCAGTATCTGAAAAAAATCCTATCTTGCCTTCGGCACCTTATTTTCTGTTGCACTTTATGGCTCTAGCCTAAGCGTCGCGCACTCTGCTCATGATATTTAATCCCATCCAGGTAAAATTCCTGACTCTGCTGCGAAGTTTAGCCGAACTATTATCAGCAAGTCGTACAAATCGATCGCAGCTCCCAACCGAAAGCCAAGTCACTTTGTAACGGTGCCATTTCAAGCACGAAGGGTAATAAAGCATTTTCATTAGATAAGGTAAATCTTGAAGATAAGTGCAAAGAGTTATTCGAAGCAAATAATTGGTGCGCGTAAGTTCAATACCTTCCTTCTCGTGATTGAAGCAATTACTCGGGTCATCTGTTTGTAAATGGCCCGCGGTGGACTTGTGAAATTAGTTGTCAGCACCCAGAGAAGAGCTCGCCAATACTTTGCAGTCGAACACATTTCTGGATCCGATACATTGGCCACCGATAAGGCGTGTTGGCAGGAAGGAACTAGGGCTGGATTACTATCTTGCTGCTTTTTGTTAGAAATATGATTACCGTGTTTTTGTCCATCGACGCAAAATCTGCATAGATTACATATGGATAAGAAAAAGCGGGTAAAATAAAGATTGACCAGATCCTATTTCATGGCAAAAGGCTTCTTGTCATGAATGGGGTATTTCTCCCCTGCTGTTTAAGCAAACGCGACGTGGTAATGCCCACTAGCAAAATGGCGAAAATCTCATACCAAAGTTTGAAGCAGCATAATTTAGCTAATTTAAATGTTAAAGGTAGAATCGGGGCGCGAACGCGACCTTTTTTCACAGCTTTGCGAGGTGCATCATCTGCTATGCCCTAATATCATTTGATATACGTTTTGTAGAGATTAGTGGGGGCGTATCGCCATAATTTGCACTAAAGTCAATTATTACTTATTTTAAACACCGGCACTAGATACTACACGCTGGGTTTGTTCTTTGTACGATATACCTCACAGGCCAACAAAACATCGGTGGCAAAGACACACTCGTCTATATTGGCTACCATCTAATCTAATTCCAAATACCCCAGCTCTACTTGCAAGTGGTAAATGTGTCTCTTCGCATCTGGCCTTCCCAAGGCTGTGCGAATGTAGACAATTTATTGTTGTATCATGAATATTTAGCCAAAGTGTAGCCTGAGTAGCTACGTCTCAGCAGCCTTCTCGATATAACCAGCTACAGCCACAGAGTCTCACCCCGAGCACTCACCACAGTAAGGAAGTATTTGTGTCAGTCATAGCAGTTGATACATAACCTTCGCTAGGTATAGAAAATACAGCGAGGTGATACTAATCATGTTGTTTCTTAGCATACCTCTTTGAACTTGATTTTTGCTCTAAAAGTGTCTGTATCCAGCATAGTGTAAACCTCCACAATTTGTCACTTGTCGTGAGCCTTTCAGGCAAGAAATATCAGCATTGAGTAAGTAAGTTTACTTTCTCCTACAAAATTGCTTCGTACTTCGAACGGATGATAGGGTCTATATTGTCATATATATTATTGAATGCTACTGTTGTGTTTGATCCCAGTCAATTGCATAACGCATTCAACAGAGTGTTCTAACAACATACGCATTCATGACGGATAACGAGCTCAGCTTTATCGCCGGTACCAACCGCATCATTTGGGTAGTCTCATTATCTTGCAGTTTATCGTACACACACCCAAGAAATATCTCTTCAAGCTCAATAATGAGAGGAAGCGTACTGACAACGACTTCATCTGTCACTCTATGCACGAGTGAGTAATCTTTCCTGGCCAAACTTTTGTGCGGATTGACTGCATCACACGGTGAGCGCATCAAATGGTAGTGCTGACTCAGTAATACTGTTATATCGTGACGAGAACGACCTAGACTTTGTAACGGCATATTTGATCCTTGTATTTGTGCTTTCCGATCATCCATCTCTACCGGGCTTGGTACAGGAAATATTGGCTTGGACTCCCTGAATCGAAATTTTTCTGTGCAACGTCCAAGACGATCCCGTTTGGCTAACGATAGCACTCGTAGTGAGTCAGACAGACGCCTGAGTCGTGGAAGGGCTGTAAACTATAATAGATTGAAACACGATGTGTTCGATAGCCTGTCTCCAAAAAGCGTTTTACTTTTACGGCGATTGTTGGCTTTGAAGAGGTTAAAATAAGGGCTAGATGCGGTAACTTGCTTGCCTGGAGGCACGCAACACTAGTGTGAATAAGCTGCTGAGGCACCTTGAGGTTCCTTTCCCGTCAACCGGACCTAGCTGCAGAACAAATGGCATTCACGCTCGTTTGATATCCAGCCCTAAAAGACAGGGTCAAAAAATGCTATCCCATTAGAAAAAAAGCAACTGACACAACGACGATTTTGTCAATGATTTGGACGTTGCTACAGTGCGTCACACCTGCGGTCTCCAAGCTTGAGACCGCGCTCGAGAATGAGCACTCGCATGCAATGGTTTGGCGGAAGAAGCATTCCTCATTTTAAAGTCGTTGGTTATTGTACTGTCGGATCAGGCGAATCGGGCTTTGAACAAATTTCTGTTCGTTCGATGATCAAGGCGAAATGGTGAGCTATGGTTGCCAGTTGTAAAATCTAATCGCCGCGATAATAGCACACCACCTTTCAGGCAGCCATTATTACCATTTAACGATGGGTCTCAGACATAAGACGCTTGCTCAAAGATCGTCATCGTACACCCCGACTCTTCCAAATGATGCGGTAAGTGCCGGATTGAATGTGCCGCACAACTTCGTACCGCGAGGGCCGGTTACGTCCGGAGAGGGATGCTCTATGATCGCACCAGAGGCGAAAGACCTCGGCCAGATGTTTTTCTGTGCTAGGATAAAACGTTTGCGCCTTGCCAACTCTTTTAAATCTCGGCTGAGGGCCACAGATGGTCGATCTTGAGTAAGAGATCGACCAACCAATTCCTCGCAGGAAAAATGATAGGTAGTAGGTTGTAAGTACAATAGACATAGAACGAGCAACTGGATAAAAGCCAAGGTGTTTTGTGCATCGTAGGTTGTAAGTACAATAGACATAGAACGAGCAACTGGATAAAAGCCAAGGTGTTTTGTGCATCGTATATGCTGAGGTCAGTAGGACACAGTCATCATAGTGGCGGCTTCTTATGAGAGGGTGGGACTCATAGCTCATAGTTGTTGATTACTAACATCCACATTCCGGGCTATGTGAGGCCATTGAAATCTTTGATAGATTATGAGGCTTCGTGCAATTAGGTACGACGCGCAACTTTTAAAAACAGTAAAGAGTATGCGTCGGCATCAAAGATTTTCAATAGTTATACATTATTCTTGCAACTTGCAAAAGGACACTAGAAAAGATTATGCCATACATTTCTGTGAAATTTGAGGCTCTGACAACACGGAATCTTGTCTCGGCTTAGAAGAGTGTTCTGACTATGAGAGCTCGCGTGAACAAGTGCGCATATTTTGGACTTGTGTGTTTCACCTCAGAGCGGATAAAAACAACTAGTGATGAAGTATTTTATGAATGACTAATATCTAGTATTTATTTCGTCCATATGAAGACTTAATAAATATCTTCTGGTACAATATATGTTATCATATCTCGATATTTAACTACTTTCTTACTTGACATGAGGCTAGCAACCCCCTTTATATACCGATAATATGAGTCCCCTGACTCGTTCAGGTAGATCCATCCGGACCGTTATTTGATGACTCTCAAGGAAGCCGTCGGATCGTTTGATTACATCATTCAATACTGGAAATGATGGCTGTCGCGTCTTCGCGGCGCATTCAATCTGTACTAAAATGTACGTGGAGTACCTTAGGGGCTAACACGGCCAGCCAAGTCGCCCCAAGACATCGACAAAGCATTCTGGGAGTGAATGCTTGCCACCAAGTCTTTTGAGATTGAGTACTATCGCAAACCCGACGAACAAATCTTTTGTCATTATCAGGCAATCGCCAAGGTGCGCGACATGCGTTTTGATACGCGAAACTCGTATGCGAGGGACAGATCGAGGTAGATATTGCTGCATGTCGAAGAGACATGGTGGGATCTGCACTACCTGCGGTGTCACTGCATTTGTCTTCGTCGACTTCTATGGCTGGATCCCAAGCGATTGGACAGCGTTCATCATTCATTTCGGCTCCTAGTGCGGCCAGTGGGGGTTCTTAACTTCCCACTCACGAACTGGGTCACGGCAATCAGCAAGGGGTTGCTAATGTGGCTCTCAAGAGCTATCCGACTCCGGATATTCGAGCCATTTCATAAGAAGCTGTAGCGAACCACGGTGAAGGCGTGTCCACACTATCTTTTCCACATGGGAGTGGGCAACCCCGTCTCGGTCTACCACCGACAACGAAATTCTCGATGGTCGGACAGTCATGTCATCTGGGGCGTTTTTATCGGCTCCATACTTGCAGCTACGGGACGAAACGATGTGTCTGAACGTCGTCGTTGCATCCTCGAATGCAAATGCGAACGCGATCGCAAAGATGGGTCATCAAATATTGAAAGTGACGAAATCACTGTGGGCTAAAGTCTGCCATGTGGAGGTGAGCATTCACGCAGCAATGTCTGCATTATATCCGGAAGCCGCTTGGCTCCGATTGGGAATTTGCGTCTTCGTGACAAAGTTCATCAACTTCACAGTGCTGTGGCACAGACTGATTTGACACTTGAGTTTCAACGACGCGTTCGTACACATTCACAATTTCCGTCGCCGTAGTACAATCAACCTCGTTCGTTCAATCCATACGATAAGTGGATTTACTAAGGTATAGTCTGAGCAATCCAACAGAAAATTTTGGATCCAGCTTGGTAAGCCCAATGTATATGCATTGCCAGCACATTTCAAGACCACGAAGGGACCAATGTATCGGAAAGAAGCTTGGAAGATCCAGACTAGAGGCGGCAGCGTCAGCCATGTTCTTGGTACTGACTCGTACATAATCACCATCTTTGAGTACATCTGTGTTTTCACGTTCATGTGTATCAGCATCAGAGTTCTGAAAATTTTGCGCTTTTGCCATAAGAACAAGTACGCGTGATACAACATTTGTTCTTTCGGTCATGAACTTATCAACACTTTTACGAATTCGATGCTTGTCAATTGTGGTGAGTCGGAAGGGAAACGCTTGCCGAACTTCTTCCTTACCAGAATCTTGCGTGTCCATTATCAGACAAAGAGGCAATACTGGATGGCAAAGGTCATTAATGGAAAATAACGTCAAGCGAGTTGAAGCATGGAAAGCATTGTTGATAGCACATTCAACCATCGGGAGCAGATCACTTAGTGTCGTCGCGAGGATGCATAAAAATTGCGTAGAATGTTTTCTACAACGCGATTTGCTTCGGTTTGACCATCGATCTCTGGATGGTGCTTGGGGCCATCTCTAGGTGCGCACCTAATCGGCAAAATAAGCTTGTCAAAGAGCCCGCTGTAAAGCGCGTATCACGGTAATGACTCTGGTAATTCATGATGTCGAAAGACAGGATCGATAAGTAATCGAGCGCTCGGTTTCCCAGTAACAGAATCAACCGTTGGTGCGAGGTGCAGAATCTTGCTTAGACTGTCTACAAAGACTAAAATACCATTGTTCCCAGCGGCATCAATAGATAACATAAATGAACATTCAAACTGTCGGACCGACAGCAATCTGCTGGTATTGGCGGACTCTGCAATGGCTCCAGACTGCGTGGGTAGAGCTTACCACGTTGACATACGTCGCAACCACAAAGGTACTTTTTAAAACAAGCTTACATTCTGGGCCACCAATGTTTGTGTGCAATCGCTGTACAAGTCTTTATCGATCAAGATGATCTGCGATCGGCGTATCGTGTCTTCATAAACCAACTTGTGCTTTCAGTTCACGTTGTCAGGTACGCAAACCCGAAAGTCATCTGCTTCATGTACTCGAGAATACAATAACCCGTCCTTGAAGAAGTTGAGATGGATTTTACCGCGAACTCGCAGGGATAATGTCGACAAGACTGAATTAATTGTAGTTGTCAACTACTTAAGAATGTCAGAACAAGATGGATTGTTGGGATGTGATTAACGTATCATGTCGAACACGCTGAAAGTAGCTTGCGAAATCATGGATAATTCATAATCGGGAAGCCGAAATAATGTACATTCAATTTGCCTGAATTATAAGCTACTGTAATGTTGTATTCTACAAAAAGTGACAACCAACGGGCCATTGTTGTGACGAGTGTGGCGTTTGAGTTGCTGTACGCGGCGATGCGTCGTCGGTAGAAACAACGAATGGCTTGGACCCCAAGAGGTGGGCTCTAAACTTCACCAAAGCATATTGAATTGCCAAAAAATTTTTGTCGTTGACGGGGCAACTCCGTTCAGCTGTCTTTAGCTGCCTCGATAGATATGAGATGACATATTCTTGTCCATTAACATCTTGCTACAGCAATGCACATCCGATCGCAAAGTCGGAGGTGTCGCACACAACACTTAACGGTAAACTGTCATTTAGTAACGCCAATGTTGGCGCTGCCTATTAGCTGTGTTTGATCTCGTCAGAGGCGACTGCACAACTAATTGTCCATAACCACTCTTGATGTTTCTCCAACAAATTTAATAGCGGGCGTGCCATATTGCCATAATTCTTGGTATACCGATGGAGATAGCTGGTTGAACCCAACCATTTCCCAGTTAATCGGTGACGGCCACTCTGAGATCACTATGATCTTTACTGGGACTGTGTAACGGGTTACACGCACTCTTGTATGAAAGAACGGGTCATACAGGATGATATGACCGTAAATAGGTGTGGATTACACAAGTTGGTGTAATCACACAGTGGTTTGGCTTAACCGTAACAAGAAGCCACTATGTGATAGGATTGCCAGTTAAACTACATAATAATTAGATTTTACTAGATAAATTAGGTATTACTAGATAAATTAGGTATTACTATATTATTAAGGAAACCCTAAGTATTAGATACTGGCGGTCTCTGCTGCAGCTAAACCAATTAAATACAGTATCAGTTTTGAACAAAAGAGTTCACTCACCTTGGATATGACTTTCGGTACTCTTGGAGGCAGCGGAATGCGATCCGCTGTACTCATAATGGTTCTTGAAAGAATGTAATGTCGATGACCTTAACTTAGCTTCTTCAAAGCAAAGAGCTACAGCAGCTCCGCTGCATTCTGACCGAACACCTTCGACACCTATAAAAACAGCCCAAAACTGGTTTTCTCGGCGCATAATATACATTTATCAATGTTGGCAAAGAGCTGATGTTCTGTCATACACGCCAATACCTGTTTCAGGTGTTCGGGATGAACTTGATCAATAGATCGGTCTGTTTCGGGTTTCTATTGGGCAAAGATGATATCGAATTACGTCGACGCGAGCGATCGCAATGAACAGAATAAATGCGTAACAAGACGGCTAGTCGTCGCAGGTGTATTGGATAG